TGTGTGTGTGTGTGTGTGTGTGTGTGTGTGTGTGTGTGTGTGTGTGTCTGCGTGCTCACACCAATTATATGTGTTTTTACAACTTGCTTTTTATGTGCATATTTCCCAGCCATGGCTACTATAGATAAGAGGTTAGTTCATTTGAGGGTGAAGGAATGTTAGGTGACTGGGATCACAATTCTTTTTTAGAAAATGGTGATGCATTATTACCTTTTGGTGTTTCCTCTTTCTTTGAACATTGTGTGGCTTCTTGTACATATTAAGCATCAGCAAAGTAAAATAAATGTAAAAAATCCATTAAAAAAGCCTGAATTGAGCTGCAGGAATTATTGTCGCTCACAGACAATATTTGCAATTCTGTGATTAACTGCAGCACCACGACATTACCGTGCATTTTGAAGTCCTTGTGGTTGATTTGGCAGACCTCAAACAACAGCTGATCAATGAGAACAAAGTCCTTTTAACCTTTTACAGCTAGGAGCTAATCGAAATGCTGCACACAGTGTTTTTGTAGACCTTAAAATTGTAATCAGAAACCTGTTCTTCCGTTTTTGTACCTGCTCAATGCTGGTCAGTCACTGGAGCGCGCCCCAGCTGGGTCCATGCTGGATGGGTTTTGAGTCTATTAAAGAAACAAATCAAAACAAATGAACATGCACGCCAACTCATACTTAGTCTTCAGAGGAATTTAGAAACACAGCAGAACCTGTGCATTTTCATACTTTTTTAAATTCATGCCATCGAGCCAGTGACAGCATCCTGTTGACATATATCAATCTGGATGTGGTTCAGTTTGTCTTTCACTTTTTAAACAAGGAATTGCTGAAAAAAGAAGTGCTGTTGTTTCTTCTTTGAGGTACTTAAATGCTACCCTACAATGCACCAGCATGGTTCTGTCACTCCCACTTTCTTTCTTAGAGGAGGAAGACCCAGAGATCAGGACTTGCTATTGATCTGCCAGCCAGGCAGTTTGTTGTCCAAACATTTGGCTTGTTCAGTTTTCATGGTGAGGAAAAAAGCACAAGGGGGATATCATTTAGTCTGGATGGCCCTGTAAGAAGAAAGGGGAGGTGGAGAGGAAGAATGAGTTGGAAGGAGGGAGAATAAGCTGACTGCCAGCAAGAGTGTCTGAGTGGGAGGAAGCACCAAGTCACTTTGAGGGAAATTAAAAACAGGAGGCAGGAGGCCAAGGCAGTGTGTCCTCCGAGCCTATGTGACCTGCCATTTACCTAAGTGTACTTGAAGGCTGGCAGAGACAATAGCTCTGCTGTTGGTCGTGTCCTTCAGCAGCGTCCAAATCAACCCCAGCCGCTGAAAAAGTTGGACTGTTTCAATTGATCGGAGAGAAGTGAAATGGAACAAAATCATTGGTACGTGTATTTATTTGTGCATGGCAGCAGAAATGTGTTTCCCCAGATTTAAAAAAAAATGAAATAGAAACTTGGTTTCCGCAAGACTTAAAATAATTCTCTTCAGCTACTTTGAGTCAGGTTTACAATACGCCAGACAGCTGGGCACTGTCAGGCTTTAGTTGGGAGGTGATATCATACTGGCCCGTAAGTTTCTGTATGACTTCATTTTCTGGAAACTCCGATCTTTGCTGCAGCCGAACATTTGCCAGTAATCCCATGTGTTTATACATCAGAGCATGGGTGGGGGCGCCTGTGAGTGTTACATGAATGCCTGTAGATCTGCATTTAACCTCTATGTGTGGGTTTTCTTTCTTCCAGAGCGTCCGGTGAATGCAGACCAGCAGGAACGGACCTTGTTGAAGGGTGTGTTCAGTGTCAGGAAGGGCAAAACGCAGCTGCACAAGTGGGCAGAGCGGCAAGTTATTCTATGTGGCACCTGTTTAATAGTGGCATCTGTTAAAGACAGCCTGACCGGGAAGATGCACATACTGCCCCTGGTGGGGGGTAAGGTGAGAGCTCATTTTTCCCATTTTCCCAGGGTGGAGCCCATCTCCACTCCAGGCTGATGTTGTTGGTTGAAATAATGTTTAAATCTATATTGATGATGTCGATTCACCGGTACTCCAGACTTTCAGGCTAAGGCGGATGATCTATGTGGAGACAAACACAAGAGAATACATAATATGGCCAACAAGCTGAGTGTTTGCAAAAGGTTCTCATTCATGGGCTCTCCTAGAAAGGGTAGCATTGCTGACTCATCATCATGGATATTGGAACTGGGCAGTATTTCCTTTTTGTTAAAGATGTTTAAAGCATGACTCTGCCAGTTTCCGTAAAACTGATGATGTGATGTGCCACTGCTGGTTAATTTGAAACACTGCCAGTGACTCATGCAAACAGTGCACTGTGGAAAATGCATACATTTACAAATTAGGCCCACAAAAGGAAAAATGTGGGGGAAAACAATAACATTTTAGGACATTTTAGAGGAAATTAAAAAAAAAGATAATTTAAAAAAGGGGATGTTAATGAATTATGGTAATCATGATTTAGTAAAAAAGCAGCACCCCTGAAGAGCAGATAATAATTTTTTGTCAATACAAATCAGACAAAATCTTTGGCTGTCTGAAAACTGATCCTCTAAGGAATAATATAAGTAGTTTGTGTTAGCTTTTTATTAGTCAGAAATAAAATGTCAGAATCTATGAAGCTGAAGAGAAAGAGAAATGAACAGTTACAAGTGCAAACAAAATAAAAATTATTAAAAACTACTTCAATAAATTGCAAAGCAATGGTAACATGACTTTTCTGATTCCGTTTTACTTGACTACATGATCATTTTGCTCCCCTATATTCATCTTCCATGTATCTTTGTTACTTACTCTTAAGGTTGAGGAGGTGAGGAGGAGGCAGCACTGTCTAATGTTCAGCTCTGCAGGATCTCAGGCCCAGACTTACTTTGTCAACTTTGACACTCTCGTGGACTACCAGAGATGGCATCGACAGGCGTCAAAGGTAAGCAAGAGATAAAGAATGTGTTGCTCTGTGTGTGGATCAGTTTCCCATCTGCAGGAACTAGTTTATTTCCACTTACTCTTGCTGGACTTGTACGTTCATCAGCGCTTCCATGGTGAATCCCCAGTTATTCTCTGGCTGTCCATTAAGATGCTTCCTGTCCGTCTGTCTGAGTGTGTCTGATCGGCCCAAAGAGACCGATGGACGTTCAGACAACAGTATGTCAAACTGACTACCTTCTTCTCGTTTCAATGGAAAACACTGTGGAGTAAAACATGGTATTTTATCAGAGCCAACCTAAACTTGCAGATTCATGCAACGCCCAGGATCTCGGTGATAGGGATTACTGGGTTAGAGTAGCCTGTTAGCGTGCAGTATTCAGGCTGAGACATGGACTAAAGGTTTCTATGGAGACAGCGGATCATGACTGATGAAGGTTTTTTGGGCCAGTGTTTATGCTACACTGCATAAATCGTAAGCCTGTGTGTCTGTGCGTGAGGGAGAGGGAGTAATCGAGTGCATTTGTGCCAGCAAAATGAGCATGCAGGGTGAAGACAGACACCGGAGAGCATAGGGGTGCATGCTGAGCAGATATTAAGTTCACCAGAAGACTGAATGGTAGTAAATGAGACACGTGTGGAAATGTTGCGAGCTGCCATGTGGGGGTTCAGTTCTCCGATGATGGTGATTTTTTCTGTAGCTTGTTTTCATCAATTTACTCCTCCGTTGACACTGTTTAATATTGGCCAAAATAAAAACAGAACCTTTTCAAGATAATTTTATGCGGCTTAACGTGTTCAGTTTGTTTTCAATTAGAGAAAATGCCTTTCCAATACACAATCCAAGAAAGAGTCTAATTTCTCGATAGATTTCCACTGATTGATAGAATGACAAAAATTATCATAATTAGATAGTTAGAAGTGTCTTATTTACTCTTATGAACTTATTAAATAATAACAACTATTGTTTGAATACAGCAGCAATCCTATTCTGCAGACACAGTTTGTGAGAACACAAATCAAATAAATAAACTCCTATCAGTGATAATCCATCCATCCATCCATTATCGTTACCGCTTATTCCCTTATGGGGTCGCGGGGAGACTGGAGCCTATCCCAGAGGTCAATGGGCGAGAGGCGGGGTACACCCTGGACGATCCGCCAGTCCATCACAGCGCCACACAGAGACACACAAGGACAAACAACCGCGCATACTCACTGCTAAGGGCAATTTGGCATGTCCAACCTAACATGCAGGTTTTTTTGGACTGTGGGAGGAAGCCGGAGAACCCGGAGAGAACCCACGCAGACACAGGGAGAACTAGCAGACTCCACACAGAAAGGTCTTGGTTCCCCCTGGACTTGAACCGAGAACCCTCTTGCTGTGAGGCGATGGTGCTAACCACCACACCACCGTACCACCCACCAGTGAGAATTGACATGATTAATGATTTAATTTATTGCAAGAATTGCATTCGCAGGGTTGTCCTGACTGCATGAGAGCTAATTCAGTAAATTACATTTATCATCTATTTTTTACTCTGGAGTAAGGACGCCCTCTTCACGCCATGGTTTGGGAACCAGATAAATATAAGGGCTCATGTTTCATTTTGTCAGAATGCATCTGGCCTTCCTTTTTGTTTAAATAGATTTCTAAAAGGCCTTGCCCGGCTGGGCCAATGACAATCGCTTATCTAATGCAGAGCGGCCTTCAAAGGATGACAGCGCTGTTGTGGTACTCAGCACCATGTCATTATATTTTGCAACCTTGATAAATATCAGATCTATCTACCTCCAGAAGTGATGTGGTCTTTGTCTGCAAGTGACATCTGCTGTGAATTAATTGGTGTTTCCATTAGAAGAGGTAAGTCACTTATTAAAAGCATCTGTGAGATGAGCTGCTTTGAGGGAGATGAGCTTTTATGTCTTTGATGTCTGGTAAAACCAGTGACGTGCTGTTATGCTCTGCTGAGCTGTCAACCCATTTTCTGGGTTGCTGCACTGTGTGCGGTCCAGTTGTTGATGGTACAGACTTTCTTCAGAGGAGGCTGGAGGAGCCCTGCAAGGTAGCCACACTAATAGCTGTTATGATGGAGATTCTTTGCAGCTGCAATATTGGCATATAAAATAACAGGAAACCGATTATCAGCATTATCTGAGATTTTAACAGTATTAAAATCCTAATAGATGCAATCACACACTCTTGGTCATGTTATTTTTGCTTCTAAAGTGCATTACTCTATTAATTCCCAGATGACTTTAGTCAAAGTCATCATAAACTACAAACGTTTACAAAGATGATAACGATTTATTGGTGAGTCAGTTGTTTAGAACAGGACACTGGTGGACTAACAAGAGTTGCGTGATAAACAGGCAATGATTATAATTTCATAAGATCTGACTGAAACAGGCTCATATTTTGAAAAAATTAATCAATAACTATTTACTAATTTTCCCCCGAAAAATACAGATTTACTTAAATGAGGCAGAGACTGTATTATGTTTTATAAAAAGCATCTCATAGTTAGAGGACAGGACCTTTTAAATAGTGTATCTATGTACAGCCCCTTTGAAAATAGTGTGGTATAAAAATTTCAGAAATAGTTTGGATTTATCATGGTTCTGTCTTGAGGGAACTACCGATGATGGAAACTAGTGGGAGTTATTTGATGCATTTTCTGTGTGTTTAAATAGGTGGTGTCTCAGACGGTGAGTCTGGTGGACCTGTCCTGCTACAGTCTGGAAACGGTGCCCGAGTACCTGTTCTACTGCCAGGATATCACCCACCTTAACCTGCGACATAACTTCATGAGCCTGCAGGGGTCCGGAGGCCTGCTCAACCTCCCCAGGTAATCTACCTGATTATTATACATTTCATAAGGAAATGTTGGATGGTGTATCACATGAAAGAATGCTGCAGTCCCTTGTGCTGCTCAGGTGCTATATCTGAAGATGTGCATTAAAAGAATGTATTAGTTGTTAAGTCAAATGTCACATGCTATGCTATTTTCATTATGCACGTGTAGTACATCCTCTTTGCCCAACACACAGCTTATGATCCTCTATGTTTTTTATCCGACATAAGTGGAAACAGACAGTTTTAGCTGCATGTCATTCATGATAGAGGACAGGACTTAGGCTCCTGTCGATGTGTGGACAGGAGGTCCTTTAAACAAGTTGGATGGATCCTTAGATGAACTACAATTATTCATCTTCAATATTCAATCCTTTGTTGCTTTTGTTTGCACCGAGTGGCTTGGCGTCATATTTGTACAATGTAGCATGGAAGAATGTATGATTTTTCTGAAAGAATTGTATTCTATTGTATTTAGCCGTCTTTATTGGTATGTTTAAACGGAGACTTTATGTTAATGTTTTGAATGATATTTTATTTGATTTCAAGGACGTGTAGCTGATGTACACTTACACAGCAGATTTCACTGATGTATGAATTTCTATTTGGAGAACCTTGGAGGTCAGAACAGATTTTATGAATAATAAACCCATGATAAACCGGTTATATTAACAGCTTATAATATCAGAGCTCCTCTGGCAGTAAGCTGAGTACATAGCTGTTTTTAAAAAAAAATCAATCTATACTAACATGTTTAAATCCTTAGAGCTCGGAGGACAGGCAAAGGCCAAACAGAGACTGAGCAATCACACCAGATTCTACCTGAGTCATTTTCCCATCAGCTGTCCAAATATGACAAAAATATTATTATTATTATCATTGTTTACTGTATTTTTTCATAGCTTTAGTGCAAAATGCTCACAGTGTTATCTGACATGTTGGTTATCAGACTCTTACCAGATCATACTCTTTATTACAATACAGAAACATGTTTTTAGAAATGTCCAAAGTGATTTAAATATTTTCCGCAGGACAAGAAAAATTGAACTGTCATTTAACTGTCTCACATGCACTTTTTCTCTAAAGGTTTTCACAGCTGAAAAGCTTGAACTTGTCTCACAATCGTCTGGGTGTGTTCCCTGAGTGTGTGTGCGAGATCCTCACCTTAACTGAACTCAACCTCACCTGTAATAATCTGCACACCATTCCCGAGCAGATCGGCAACCTTCAGAGGTTTGACACACACGGGCACTCTACAGAATGAAGCATTGGCATGAATAGGATTACACACGCATTTTCTTTTTAGTGTTGTACAAAGTAAATGAAAAACCATGTCAATCCATGAGACACACTTACAAAGAGAGGCTACACAAATCAGATACAACCACGAAGATAACCTGTAGCTGCACTTGGCAGACAAGCTAATAAGTGCTGGAAGTTTGAAATTTTAGTGACTTTCTTAGTAGGTATACAAAAAAAAGATCATCTAAGAGATATTAGTTGTATTAAACATATCACTGATTATATGACACTGATATCTGCTTCACACAGAACGTTACAATATATCCACACCAGGTATACTTTAGTTTTGATGTAGAAAGATGATTGACAAGCAATAAATACAGAGCTAGAAATATAATACAGGCACATATTGTGATTGCTCTGTAAAGCAATGCATCAGGGGTTTTGTCTTGCTGTAGTCTGCAGACATTGTCTTTGGATGGAAACCACCTAAACTCTTTGCCTGAGGAGCTTGGCGGCCTGGGTCAGCTCAACAGTTTGGGACTTTCCTTCAACAACTTCTCTCACATTCCTGCTTTGTTGGAGAGATTGAATGCGGTGGACAAGCTGGCTATGGCCGGGAACCGAGTGGAGAGCTTGGAGTTGTGCACTCTGATCAGAATGAGCCACCTGCGAAGTATTGACCTTCGGTAAGTAGCTACTCTTTTCTGCCTCTATCTATTTGTTTTTTCTTACCCAATTGTGTTCCCTTACCCTTTCATATGGTCAGTCTGCGTGCTGTAAATGGAGCTTGTCAGTCGCTGCCAGCCATTCAGTCAATATAAGAGGTGGATGGTAATTCTACTCACTGGCAGAGTTAAACACCCAGACACAAACTCCTGCCTGAAGCTCAGCTGTTCGGCATCCTTCCTCTCTCCCGATACTTTATCTAACACTTATTTATAGATGCCAGATGTGCCTAGAACAAATGCCTTTGACTGCATTGTCCTATTTTTCACCTGCATTCACACCTGGGAGCAACCCAGCTGCACTCATGCATATAATATTTGCTGCCATTAGCAGCTCCACAGGAGCAGTTCTTGCGTAGAGTCCTTGGTGACAGGTAGAGATGGAGGGGAAAGTTGTTTTCAATGGATTTTCTCCCATTTTGGAGAGGAAGCCAGCAACCACAACTCCAGCGACAGCCAAATATTAATTCAACCTTGGGAGTTAAATTGTGGTTTGGCAATAGCAGTCTGTGTTTATGTGAGGGCAAGGTGCATCTGTGAGGGCTTTACACTTCCAATAAAAGGGAGCTTGTTCAACATGTCAAAACTTATTTTCTCACTTTGACTATGTACGTACATCTTGTTTTATATTCAGTTCGGTGTTGATATCACGAAAAAAACATGTAATCCCCTGCTATGTTAAATGTAGGTTGAATGGGCTTCGGTGGGTTAAAAGTGAGAATCTGGAGGCAGTGACCCAGGTGACCCAGCTGGACTTAAGGGATAACCGCTTGGACTCGCTGGACCTGAGCTCCGTCTGCAACCTGGAGGCTCTGTATTGCCAGCGGAACCAGCTGGGGACACTCACACTCAGCGGTTTCACACTGCGCATGCTTCATGCCAGCAGCAACCGTGAGTCAAATAGAGCATCAACTAGCTGCTATTATTGCCTCACTGGCCATTTGTCATGGCCTTTTTCTCTAATGATGCTTTGGTCTCATAAGCACACATAGAAACAGAGTTTATATGTTTTTTGATGGTTGTTCTCTTTGCCTTCACACAGGCCTTACAACAGTCAATATCTATCCAGTCCCAAACCAGATGACGCACATGGACCTCTCCCAGTGAGTTCTTGATGCAAATAAGGCGGGGTTATGTCATGTCGCTAGAGTGTGAACAGAGACCGGTGTAAAGAGTTCATTCATTTTTTATGGGATTGGAAAGTCAATTTGATTGTAAAATGGATACATAATATGTAAACCAGTTGTATGTGAACTCCTTGGATTCTGCTGAAATAGGGGTCAATAATTTACCCTATTTCCAAAGTTCAATGAGTGTGCTTATGTTTACACTAATATCCTTGTTATAATAGTCTTATTTATGGTTATACGTTTCACCTATAAACATTTTCTTATTTTAGAAATACTGACAGGGATTCACTAGCTGGAGTTTACTGATAGAATTTGTGTTGCTGCAGTTTATGACCACCATGTGGCGGTTTCTGAGCAATTTTAAGAGATGGTGAGAATTAAACAGAATTGCCCATACATGATCAGAAAGCCGGAGACCTCAATTATCAACATCTCAACTCTAGCACCATGTGTTGAATTTGATACAAACCAAGTTAGGACTCAAAAGTGGTTCACTCATCAATCAGCCAACCTGTTCCTGGTGGTTCCACTGCAATTCTCCACTCAAGCGCTGGAAAACATACCTCGAGCAGGAATCAAGACCATCCATACAATTGACATAAAAAAATATCCAAATTAAAGGAGGTTTGAAAAGACAGGACCACTACAGCAGCATTGTGACTTTACTAATTCAAACTGTAAGCTCCAATTAGCTTGAAAAAAAGGTTAAAGAGTCCATGCAAGGCTCCATTAGTTAGAATATGATGAAGAAAAGCAACTGAGATACAAGTACAACCAAAGGAGACCAGAAACTTTACTGTAATCAAATCTCTTTTAAACTTATGTCTGAGTTTGTGTTATAGCACCATGATTGAGGATAGACACCTGCTGTTTAATGATCCCGATTTAAAGCTGTAACAACTCCCCGTGGTTTCTGGTGGTTCTGTTTTTAATATAACACAGCCATCATTATTAACATTGCAATTCTCACACTTACATGCCTGATCTTATGGGTAAGAGCTCTGATCGTTTACTTTAGCGAATAAAAAAAGAAAGTCTTTGCAAGCGTATGTAACCATGTGTTCTCCACACATCACAAAAAACCTAACACTGAATTTTAAAACGATTCCAAAAGGAAGTGTTTGCAAAAAGTGAACAATGGCGATCAGATCCCTTTGATTCAACAAAACCAACTCACAGATATACAGTGCTGTAAATCAGACTCTGGTATTGGATCTTTCCTTTAGATACTAACGTGCCTCTTTATGTGTCTTAGTAGTGTATTGAAAGTTGCACTCAAGAGCGTAATGCATTATGAAATAAACACGTAATGTTCGTGTTAATGCTTTCAAGGGAAACTCCAAACCCATTTTTGATATCCTGCATACTTAAGCACTATGAATAAGGCGAGTGCACACTGTGGGGACTCTTTAAATCTCCTTCCTCAGTAACGACAGTTTAGTTGCTCTGCCTCACTGTTCTTTACAACCTTTACCTACGTGAAACATCACTTTTATGATCCACAATCACAGCCTGCTGGATTTGTGTTTAATTACGCAGATCAAATGCCTGTATGGTGTTGGTTAAGTAACCACCAGACAGAGAAAAAATAACAGCCAATATCATCAATAGTGAAACTGTAACAAACTTAATTTTCTGTTCAACCTCCAATATTGACTTAACAAGCCTCTCAGATGATTTCTTTTTTCATTAAGGATTCACTATTCCATCCATACAAATCAAACTAAATGGCACCTTGGCTGTGATTGAGTGGTGTGTTTGTGTGTGTCTGTCTCTGTGTGTGAGACAGGAACCTCTTGGAATACCTTCCAGACTGGGTTTGCGACTGCCGCAAAATTGAGATCCTGGACGTGACCTACAACCTCTTGTCTGAGCTTCCCTCCAGGTTAGAAATCTTATTCAACACTAATCCAGAGACTTTCCTGCTCAAATTGTGTGTTTGATGTTGCATTATTTGAATGAATTCAGGCTCTGAGCCTAATGGAGCACACAGCTGACTATCCTGTGCAGCTTTGAAAGATCAGGTGTCACATTACATACGGGCATGTTATTTAAACGGTCTCTCTAATGCCAAACAGCTTTTTGTCATTTCCATTTCAACATTTTTATTATTGTAATGGAGACAGGATCCCACACAAAGCTTCTAGGCATTTCCTTGTGAAGGATTGTAGCTGTGTTCACTGTTCCCACTCATATACTGCGTGATTGAATCAGGGGAGAATAAAAAGTCCATACAGGCAGCTGAATAGGTCATTGTCTCACAAGTGGTCACTCTACATGAGCAGACCATTTTTCTGACAATCTTCTTTTTTTTGTTGCTCATGTCCTAATGTCACTCTTTGACATCTCCTATGGCCTCCAACAGACTGCTCAACAGCTTGAGTTTGCGGAAGCTGCTCGCGGGGAACAATCGCTTGCAGAGAGTGCCTGACCTACTTGACCATGTCCCTCTGGAAGCTCTCGACCTTCAGCATAACAAGCTAACCGAGCTTCCTGAGGGTCTCTTTAACAAGGCCTTAAAGTGAGTTCCTCAACACCTTTTGCTTATGCAGTAATTCCAGAGAGCCATAATCCGGTTCCTCATCTTTGAAACTATTATGGGGCGTTCAGGATCTGTCACAGTGGACTGTTACCGTAACTTGGCTCATTGTTTTGGGGATGAGAAATAAATTGTATGAGGGGATTGTGGTCAAGATCAATGGAGTGTTCCAGACCATAGCTGCTCTCTTATTTCCTGTGTGGTAAATCACTTAACACCCATTAGCCCTTCATAGGCTCTGTTGCACTTTACTGTCTCTAATGCAGAGACATTATGGCTATGAGTTCTTGGTTCAAAATGGGTTTCCTAACATGGTGTCCAAGAGCTGTACAACATATAAGAGGCAGCAGTTGTTTCCGGTAATGATGGAACTGAAAATGATGACAGAAACTAGGCTTTATGGCCAATAGTTTTTACTTGAGGGCTGTGAGATGTCAACAGTCATAAAAAGGTTTACAGCTCAGTGGGTCAGGGACAGGTTATATTACTCCTTAGTCTGCGACACACAGATAATGACTTAACATCAGTTACGTAAGATAGCTTAAGTCACTGCTGCAGTGGCATGAAAAAATGAACCGTTGTGCATGAAGAATTTCTTCCTCAGTACATTGAAGTTATTTAAGAAAAATGTCAATACTCAAAGCCCTTGAAACCTCTGTAAACCTGAATAATCACAGTTTATGGTCCTCTGAGATAAACTTCCTCTTTTTAAAAATTCTATCTAAGCCTTGATGTTGACTTTCCACCACATCCAACTAAACTTTGTACCCAATGTGTAAATAAGATAAGTGATCATTGATACCTAAACAGTCGCTGATTGTTTTGAAGTGTTCGAATCACTAAAAAGCACACATCTACTACCCAATGTATCTGTAATGGTCTGTATGTATCTGACCAAATTGCACGCAGTAAAGATTTTGTTGAAAGAAGTTTAAAGATGGAGTAGTTTTGGCATTTGAAATCTTTTGTCATAACTCTTTGTTGTGAATTTTAGTTGTCTGATACTCAGATGCACTTAAAAGTTTAGCCTAATTTGGGAAGAAATGATCAAGTGGTAAAGTTGAGAAGTCATTTTATTGAAATCAAAATTGAAATTAAAATGAAAGATTTAGCAACTCTTGAAGTTTTTCCTGTCTTTAATTGTTTTCTGCCACAGCCTAAAATACTTAAATGTGTCAGCCAATGCCCTGGAAAGTATTCCTCCCAGCAGCCAATTAGAGGAAAGCCTCAGCACACTCCAGGAGTTCTACCTGACGAGGAACCACCTGAATGAGAATTGCGGAGCTCTGCTGGTCGGACACCAGAACCTACGAATCCTCCACATCGCCTACAACCAACTGCTCTCATTCCCTGCAAGGTGTGTCACTTAACCACAAGTGTTTGTTACATAGATAAGTCTGCCGATTTATTTGATTTTTGTACTGATTTAGGTTTTTAAAAAATGCATAAAGATTAACCTATTTTTTAATTACGACATGATTGATGCTGTTTTAAAATTCAGTCTTTGAATTCAAAAACTAATCTCTGTTTTAATGATTTTTGCCGGTGTATGCAGTAAACTGAGTAAGCTGGAGCTGCTGGAGGAGTTAAATTTAAGTGGCAACAAGCTTAGGACGATCCCCTCCACCGTGTCCAGCTGCAAGAGGCTGCACACCCTTATAGCACACTCAAATCACATCAATGTCTTCCCAGAGATCCTACACCTGCCCGAGATCAAGGTCAGAGTTGCTTTTCTCTTGTTTTACATCACTTGGACAGTTTAATCCTTCAATGTTTGTCTCACTTTGGTGACTTTTGGTGTGTGTTTTTTTTACGCGCAGCTTGTAGACCTAAGCTGCAATGAGCTGACTGAGATCCAGCTGCCCGATTCCCTGCCTGCAACGCTACAAGAGCTGGACCTGACTGGCAACAGCAGCCTCCTGTTGGAACACAAAACACTCAATCTCTTCAGGTGAGTCGGAGGGCGATGAACAACGATTCTGTCGTGACCCAGTAGTTTGGAAATGCGGTAATACAGAAAAGATACAATTTCAATAATGCAGTGAGACAGTCCACATAACAGGGCACGATGTCTTTACCCGTTAGCTTGTGATGTTGTGAATTCTGAGATCCATGGGGACTTAAAAAGTATGCCCGCTTATAGTTAACATTGTGGCCTGCAGTTTCTTCAACTACATCGTATTCACTTTGTTTCAGTCACATCACCACCCTGAAATTAGACCAGAAATCAACCGCTGCACCTGGAGACTCGCTGAGCTCTTCTACTCCATGGAACCACGGTTACTCTGAAATGAGTGGCCAAAGAAACAAGTGTGTACCGCCTCTGCCTTTTTGGAGTTTGGGATTCTTTGTCGTCGATCGTGAATTATTAAAGTAATGCTTATCCAAACGGCTGCTTGCAAGTAAATTAATTTATCACAGACACACAAAAAAACCTTTAATATATAATTTCCCTCGTGCTGGTTGGTGAATCTTCCAGTGTAATGTGCATCAGTGAAGCTTGGCTACTCCTGCAGGGTCACAGCCTCCACAGGGACCCACACAGTGGTGTCTGTTATTAGCTGTCACCCCCCCCCCCCCCCTCACAGTTTAACCTGAAGTGTTGCATGCTGCAGTATGTATGAGGTTTGCAGGGGGCGCTGACTCGTCTCTTTGTTAAAGGGAGTCTGATTTATTGGACAGGCTGTGTGTGTCGCTGCTGGCCGTTGACCGCTTCGGAGACAGCGTGGAAGCATGCTACGGTGTGTTTGATGGAGACCGGAATGAGGAAGTGCCTCGGCTGTTGCAGTGCACCATGGGAGATGTGCTGTGCGAGGAACTGCAGCACTCCAGTACTGACAATGTGTACATGTGCAATACTTTCCTCACGTCACACAGGTAACACAGATTTCTCAAATGTCCGTTTTTTGTAGATGACTTCTTAATGCACGATAGTTTAGCAGAACAGAGCTGCACTCTCATGTTGGGCGCATTAGGTGTGTGCTGAATGGGATAATTTTAATTTATGACATATGCATTAACAAGTAGAAGCATCCACACTGGCTGCATGAAATTAATTTTGAATTTACGTATAATTGTGGTTATTAGCAGATGCATTCCCATGTGTTGAAAAATGATAGTTCAAGGCAGCTGTTGTGTGGCAAAAGGGCTTCAGAAAAATGTTAGGTTAGCTCGAATGCATACATGTGGACACACCACAGTGATGTAACAAATTTCACCCCACCAGCACATAACATTCTTACAAATTAAGAATGGAAAAGTTTGTCAGTAGCTTCTTCTTTGTGGGGCAGGAAACTCGGTATGGCTGGCCAGAAACTGGGTGCCTCTGCCTTGTTGTGTTACATCCACCGTGAGACCTCAGATCCAGGAGGTTATTTTAGCCTTACAGTTGCAAACGTGGGCACCTGCCAGGCTGTGCTGTGTCGGGATGGGCAACCCTTGCCTCTCTCAAAGGTTTACAGTTTGGAGAACTGCACTGAGGAGATGGAGAGGGTTAAACTCAGTAAAGCCATAATAACAGAGGTAATACACAGATACACTGGCTATGTTGGGTTGTTTTAAGTTAGTGTGAATATTGCATATTGATGTTTTCATGTGTACATATTGTGAAACACTGCACACGTCCACAATCTAATGGCGGTTCTTGTTTTCGTAGGATAACAAAGTAAGCGGCGTGACATGCTGCTCCCGTTTGTTGGGCTGCTCTTATCTGTCTCCCTGGGTGCTTCCAAAGCCCTGTGTGCACACTGAGCCACTCTGCTCCCAGGATGACTTCTTGATCCTGGGGAATCGAGCCCTGTTTGAACGTGTGTCCTACCAGGAGGCTGTGCACACTGTGCAGGCGGTGCAGGATCCCCGTGCAGCTGCCAAGAAGCTGTGCTCGCTTGCCCAGAGTTACGGTTGTAAGGACAACATTGGAGCCGTGGTGGTGTCCCTCCAGATTGGCGCCGACAGCTGCACATGTGAGCCGCCGGTCTCCACCGCTGAACCACGGGGCGCCCCTCCGGCCCCTGTGACTGTGACCTCGGGCACCAGCGATCCAGCCGGCCTCTCTTTGAACGGCGCCGTCATCACCGAGTTCAGCAGTGAGACCTCTGCCTCCGAGGTGGGCAGTGAGGCCGGGTCCACGGGCTCGGACGAGCACGCCTCCTCTGCTCCGGCGTCCCGCCCGGAGAGGCGCTGCAGCCTGCACCCCGCTACCACACTGTGTGGCATCATGGTGCCAGGCTCAGCCGGGACAGTGACCCACCCGGGCCTGTTCCAGCGTCAGCCTTCCTCCAACGCGTTCTCAAGCAACCAGTCCGACAACGGGCTGGACAGTGACGACGAAGCCCCACTGGACGGCGTTATCTCCAACGGTAGCAAGGTAGAAGTGGAGGTCGACATTCACTGCTGCGCTTTCCAGCTCCGGTCAGGGGCTCCTGAGAGTCCCAAACACTCGGACCTTGAAAAGCAAAGCTCAGACTATCGCAACGGCAAAATGCGCAGACAGAACAGCGTGGTGGTTTCGGCTACAAACGGCTGCTTGCTGGCTGTATGTGGGAGGGAGATCACGGACCTCAAGAAGTCTCCCTCCACCTCCAGCCTGTTTGGGAAGAAGCTGTCCAATGGCTCTGTGGTAGCCCCGGAAGACAGTCATAATCTTATTGAGGTTGCCCTCGAGGCACCCAAGAAAAAGTCCGGTTACTTCACTGCCCCAGCACAGCAGGACCCAGAGGACCAGTTGATTGTGCCTCCCAGCCTGGAGCAGGAGGTCAGGGAGCAGCTAAGAGGCCAGAATCCTCTAGTCTCAGGACTCTCTGCACCTTCCACACCCACCTCCTTAAAAGATCCTGTGTGGGATCATCCACACCCCCCTGCATTTGCCTCCAACCTGATGCCAGGCAGAGTCCCTGCTCCAATCCTTCAACAGGAAGTCTATGACACCGCCCTCTAGAGGGAGGAGCTGGAGTCACAGCACAGTGCCATACGGCTGCAGTTGCCATTCTGAGGAAGAGGATTTTTCTCATCCATGTGGGATATTTCACTTAAAGTTGCAATTCATACCTTTTGTGAGGACAGGACTAAATGTGTGATAGTCACTTAATGATACCGTGCCATTACTGGGAGGCAAAAACAAAAATGCTCTGAGCGTTTAAGACGACAGGAGTGAGCATACATTCCACTTTGTAAGACAATATGTGAAACGAGAGCTGGCTATTTCAGATAAATCCATGTGTGAACGATATGGGATACCTCTTGTGTTTGACCATGTGAGCAGCATTTCCCTTTACATGGAAAGTTAAGCAATCTGGAAGGTGCGTATGAGATTGTGTCCAATCTCCTCACCAGGGGCTCCGCGGTCTCTCAGGTCCTGGAGAAAAGCACTATGACTGAAACTTGAAAAAGTGCCTACTACAGATGTCGCAGCCAGGAGCTCCCCAAATAAAGGCTGTGCTTTGGGGATGTCAGCTGCTTAGTTATTTTTGGAGGATGGATAGTGTCTTCAAGAGACTAACTGGTGCAGATTCTAAAGAAAATGAAGCTGTAAAAGAGCATCGCAAGACTGAAAGATGTGAAAACACAACAACTGCATTGATATTAATGCTATACTTGATTTAATTTCCCATGCATACATATAGATTATTCTATCAATTCTTTGCAGTGTGGCACAGTACATACATCTAAATTACTTAAGCATGCTGTCTTCAAGATTGAGTAAACTGCTTATTTCTAAGCAAAGAAATATTAAAGTAATTCAACTATAGGGAGCTGAAGTGCTGTAGCTCTAATAAAAACTATAAAACTATGATTAGTAACAGTGCATGATCAAACAATCTTATTCAAATCAACATTGACAGGAAAAATTAAAGATGAATTTAGACTTAGTCAGCTTTGTGGTCATGGGATAGTGGACCGCTGAAGACAACAGGATGTTTGGACATGATCTAATTTATAGTTTTGAACAAACCAGTCAGGTTTTAAATGGTGTACTGATAAAAAGTTTAAAAAACAGGTTGCTAGATACAGTATTTGTACGTACTGTATGATATGAAAAATCCCTGTTTTTTCTAAAAAGATTGAATATTTTTGGCACATTTAGAGGCTGCCACCATTTTTAATTTGTGATAATCTGTCCATGTTAGTGATGTTCTGTTAAAAAAATGTTTACCTCAAACATGTCACTTTTGAAAAGTACCACCACAATAATACTCCCCTCACATCTATTTTTAAAGTTTTTTTAATTTTGTTGCTAAATTTATTCGATAACTACCACAAAAGCTGCTTTGACCATCAGATCTGGCCTGTTGAAGGCAGTGGATTGTGTCAGGGTATTTAGGGAGAAACTTTCTGAATATATGTGCCTACAGTGAACAAGCTAAAGAGAATATCGTGAGCCACGCCAAAGGCAAGTCGCATCTGAACAAGAGACCCAGTCACGTGAATCCTTGTGGACTTTTTGACTATCATGATGTCAGTAAGTTGGTGCATAAATTTGGACAAAATCTTTGGCAAACATGATCAGAAGAGCTGGTTAAAGATAGTATATCTTATCGTAAAACCCTGCTGGCTGATTGAGTTATTGACATTGTTGCATGCTCAACAGTTTGTCACATTTTAGCCCTGCAATTCAAAACCAAAAGGCAAACAAACAGGCGGTCATGTGAGACTTGTCATGGCATTATGTGTGTGTCTTAAAATGCATATATTTGGGACAAGAACTCTGTCATGCATACTTTGTGAAGCCCAGGTCACGCAGTGTAAACAACAGAAGTACTCCAGCAGCATGAGGTACCAGAATTGAAGAAGACACAGGTTTTAGTGTAGTTATAGAGTCAACAAATATGGTTATAAAGATGTAAGCTGTTGATACAGATCTGTCATGAGTTCAAGTAGATGCATATATCGTTCACAAATTGAAAAGAGGCATATTTTGTTTATTCCTATTCAAATTATCAAATCAATTCTGTGTCAAGGAGCCCTGATACTCCCCGCCTTCTAACATAGGAGAATGCAGCTCTTCTAGACTAGTGGTTATAAGAAGGCTGGGAAGCTAGGAAATTGTTGCTTCTGTCTGTGATTACTCCATTAGATGGTTATTTTTAGTTACCACCCCAGCTTGGTAGTGGTGTTGTTCGAGGATCCCACCATAGTGGGATTGCTGAACCTGTCCCATTTTGCCTTAAAGTGTCACAAAGCATTTTAGAAAGGAGGGGCCCATTGAATCATTCCATTGAGTGTTTGTTCTGTTTCTGAACAAGATGGCCGTTGCTTTGTTCATTACTCCAAAATTAATGAGTAAAAAATCTAAGGAAGCTTGTGAGGAAGCTTTATTTTCTTATTTGGTTAAGCTTTTATGACTTGAAAGCAAGAATCATCATTAAAAGCACAGAGGAAATTGTAATAGAGCTATGTATATTTGATTTGATATTTTTTCAAGCAGGAATTTCCCACAAGTAAAGAATACCTATCAGTTGCAGGGGCTATTTTGACCTCCTTGCACATAATCTTGTGTAAGAATACGCAGATTTTCAAAACGAGGATGAAGTCAATTGATATGATAGCTATTGATTTACATGCTGGTGTGTCAAATATTAATATAATTAAATGCACTTTTTGTTCTCAGTTACATGAGAATTTTTTTAAGTATCTATTTAACTTCTATTTAGAATGTTAGCATTAACAAGCAGCACATTATGTTATTCTGGCTAAGTAATTGACCACCATCTTCCACATGACTCTCCATATAAAGCAAATGCATGTTGACTTGATTGAGAAATTTTGTTATTTTATCCCTAAAAGGTTTTGCCGTTGTCACCATTCTAAATTATTTAAGCCAAAGATTTAATTTCTCATTTCCAAAATGTCTAATTACACTAAATTTAGCTAGTTAATGAACATAATAAGGCTATATATTCAGTCCTAGGCACTTTATCGACCAGCATCTGAGAGGCCAAACACAAGGGACTCTTAAGCTCTGTCGCCCACCAGGAGAACTCACACATCAGACATCTAGTCTCAAGTTAGGAAAACATCTGTGGGCAATGCGGGCATTTTTGCCACAAAGTCAGCTAATGATTGTGCACAATATTGGTACATATCTAAACTGTTTAGCAGGTTCACGGAGAGGAGATTGAAAGTTTCACATGAGATAGTGATGTTCAAAGCAGATGTTTGGAATTCCCTTGTAAAATATGCAAAGAGTTTACTGTAAATATAAATGTAAATTGGAGTGTCATTTTACCATCTGAAACTACAAAATCCTCTTTCTCAATATGTCTGAAAATAAATATTGACTAGTATGTGTGTGTATGTGTGTGTGTGTGCGTATGATGTATGTACTTGTGTTTATGAGCTGAACAGCTCTTATTATTTTGTGATTATGTCCCTTTACACTGTCTGTATAGTTTGTCTCCACTCATGTTATTGCACTGCTTCATTTAGTGCTCTTTAAACCAACTGGCTCCATTTCTGACATCATCTGCCCCTGGTTGATGCCATGTATTCATCCCCTGTCCTTTGCAATGTACATGTACCATTTTTAATACAGTTGAATATCATGTTTGGACATTAGATAGATAGATTACTTTTTTCATCCCCAAAGGGGAATTTGGTGATTACATAGATGATTTGCACAGGTACAAAAAGATGGAGTACAGGGTAGAGTGCACTGACATAGAATAATTCCCTTTAATTCATTTCTGGAGAAGATCTGGTGGTACAGTAATTATAGATCATTGTGTACACCAAAATGGAGGGAATGCACATTAATCTAGATGATAGTGGATTTTTATTTTTCATTAACTAACCACAAGGGATCATCTCCTCTTTGCACAAACTCAACAAGCTCCCTGTACAACTTGTTTGCAAAATGTCTTTTTGCGTGTAGTTTAAAGCTTCAGTGCGCGCACATACAGTAGGTGTATGCATGCCAGTGTGAACAATGGATCGACTGTACTTCTGTGTGGATAGAGAATGAAATCGATCAGAGATGCTCTGGTTGTAAAACATGTGACCAAAGTAGCCATTGCTCAATCACATGGTTCCTTTCTGTATATTATTTTCAAGAAATGCTTGAATATTTTTTCCTCAATGCCAAGAAGCTGATGTTTATTTTTGTACTTCATTTTATCATGCAAATTTCTATTACTCTCTTCGCTACAGAATTGAAAGTGATTGGGATTCTTCAGAAATCTGTCACTCATTACGGTACTGTTGAGTATATCAACTGTAAGTGTATTTAATGTCGGAAGCATGTCCTAAATATAAGTCAACATGAAAACATACAAAATGTGATTTATTTGTACAAAATGGAGCATATCAAACATTCTTAGGTTTTTAATCTAGCATGCAGTTTACTGCTGAATTTATTTTTGCTAATCACATAAAGATTATTATTTAGGAAGTGAACTAACAATGAGCACTTATGCTGTTTGATGGAATTTTGCTCCCTTGAACCTTTCTTAAAGTGGGAGACGGTTGATGTTTTATTTCAAATGCTGCTATCATTAATTTTCTCATTAATTCAAAGATTCTTTCTTTTTTATCATTAACTTTTAGCCAAGTAGCAATAAAACTTTTTACTGTGAATCATTTTGTCCAGCATTAATTTTACTCATTTCTATCATTTCACCCAATAAAACCCATCATTATTGTTTTGATCACAATGCCTGTATTTTTGTACTTCATCAAAGAGTTGCTTCACAATAAAAGAAATACTGGGTTTAAAAATATGTTTTCTCTGGTCCAGCAGTGGTAGACATCACCTCCTCTATGAAAGATATATCCAAGTATATATTCTATGCTACAGTTTTTCCATTTAAGACTTTTATATATTTCCACTTAATTTCAGAGGTAGAAATTTTACTTTCTGCCCACTGATGTATCAGACAGCTTTGGTCACTTGATACAATGACTGTGATTCAAGTATTACAAAGAGATCCTGTGAAAAAACAAAACACTTCTGTCTCCAGAATGCAGTATCAGTTATTCTTTCTCTCACGCTCTCAAACTTCACAAATATCTTCATTTACAATAGTAGATTAAACAAATTACCCTATATTTCTTTGAATACTTATCAATCTATCCAAACGTCCATTTGTTTTCTGTACTCGCTTTATCCAGTTCAGGGTTAAGGGTAAGGAACTGAGCTGGAGCCTGGAGCCTTATTTTACTAAGTGAGAACGTTAAGATGTACACAAAAGTAATTAATAATCTGATGTCTTCTCAGATCTCTTTGGTGTGTCCATAAATAAACCATGTTTTCAGTGTGATGGTTCAGGCACAGATAATGTTACATCTGTCACGTAATTCTTATTTAGCATTTTCAAAGCAGGAATTGCACTTAAGTAGAGAACATCTATCATTCACCGCTGCTCCTCTGTTATCCTGATCACTAAAAGAGATTATGAAGAATACAGTAATGTCCATTTGTTCCAGTTTACACAGACTAGATGACACCTATTGGAGAAAATTAGAATAGCATTGTTTACTGTTGCAAAATGGATGACTAAACCAGAGATATATTCAAAGTTAATATGACTAAAAATCTATTATTATTATTCTATTAAAACAGATATACTGCTGAGAGAAAAATAAGTCTCCTATTGCCAGGAGTTGATCCCATTTACTGTCTTGTCCCAAAACTAAAGAGTATGAAAGAATTGATCGAATTACACACATACACCTGTTGGGATTCTACCTGTTCAATATCAGACAGCTTCATTCTGAAATAACTGCAAAACTGATCACAATTTTCTTGGAAATGTTATGCCATACAGTTTCTAACTTAAAAATAAAGATTAAATGACTCACTGTTTCTGTGTTTTATTATGCCTACATATTCATGGAAAATACTACATAATACAAAAAGGTATCAGGAATATGAAAGTATTATTGATGTTAAAAAATAAACAAACAAAAATCCAAGAAGAAAAAAGGATTAAAAGCCTATGCACTGGTACATTCAACAAAAATTAGAGAAGAGTCCTAAGGGATTTTCCTGCAGTCCACCTACTGTTTAAAAATCATCCTCCTCATTTGCTCTTTGCTTCTTAAGCTCTTGCACTGACCTGAAAGCTCTGACAGTAAATACCGCGCAAACTATAAAAACAAACACAGCTACCACCCCAAAGAGTCCTCCTGCAATATCTGCACCATGGAACTGACATTCAAAGCCCTTGTGCCCTTTGTTCTTGTACATTTGTTCTCTCTCCTTACAAATTGGATTATTGTAGGTTTCTTGCAGTTTAATAAAGTAGAAGGCGAGTGCGGGGATGTAGCCCAAACCTATCAGCAAATTCAGCAGAGCCTCCCCCAGAAGAACAGGGGGCCAGCGGTACGGGACCCTGAAAATTCCCAGGGCAAACATGGCGCAGGCGTAGATCATTAAAACCCCCGCAAACACCATGGTAAAGACGTATGGAGGCTGCTTGAGTTGGTGGAACTGTCTGTCGAGCTCTTTCACTCTGTCTGCATCAGCTCCGCTGAAAGAGCCAGCTCCTCCAAAGTAATAACCGTAGATCCCGCCCAGACTGGCCAGGTCACGGTAGCCACCATTGTTGCTGTACGGCACGCCGGCACAGATTATTAGAAGCAGATTCACAAAGACCTCCATGAGCTGGCAGAGACCTGAGAGTCACACCATACACACAACAACAGGAAGCAGAGGGATCAGAGATTCATCCGTTTAAATTAAATGGTTATATTAAACCATTTTACATTACCTCATGGCAAATTAATGGATGGATTTGCAATTAGGGAGCCATGATAAAATCTTGAAACGGTATACTGCAGAAACCTCAGGCTTTCAAATGAGCTAGTCTATGAAAGAGGAAAAGACCTACTTGCCTCGATTGGTGAAGGTGTATCTGAAATTGTACAGGGCTTGCTTGCGTTGATGCTCATAATACTCTCTCTCTGAGTGATGAACTGATGTCCTCGTGGACCTAAAAGACAAAGCAATAATTCAGTATTTCCATACAAAAGAACCCCAGCACAAAAACAGAAATTAACTGATTTGACAACAATGCAAAATAAGGGTCTATGTCTATGGAAGAATTTAAACAAACTGGTTAAAGGGAGTCTCTCACGGTATTGAGGGTTCCTCGTGATAGTATTCTCTGTGAGCACGTGGCTCATTTGGAGGGGCACCTCTCATTTCTCTGTGTCTGTTTTCTTTGGCCCTCTTGTCACCATCAGAGCCTTGCTCCTCCGTTTTTCTTGGCTTCTGGTGGTTGTTTTGGCTGTCATAAACAGAATCTGGACCATTGTGTGAATAATCCCTGCTCTTGTGCTCTGATTGCCCTTCCCTCCTCAGATGATGTCTTCCCCGCTCCGGCATCTTCCACTGCCTACAGAAGAATATGGAAACGCATCCTATTACAGACTATAATAAACTAAGTGGACAGTTGGCTTTTGTCTGTGTACGAGAAGGTGTTGCATATAGCTCCTTGCAAACAGCAAAGTGGCACTGAAGAGTATTTAATGAAAGTTATTGAAAGTGAACGTGATGGACAATCTTCATTCATAAGTGACTGGTAGAGAAATTGTGGACAAAATGTGAAGGATCAAAACAGGGTGTGTCGAGAATATACTTTACTGAAGTCCATATATATTTTGTCAGATTACACTTTGCGTGATAACGTGGCACTTTAAAAAAGTTAATACTTTTTTTAAAACAACAGAGCTCCCGTCCTTCGAAGAGAAAAGTAGTTCCTGCTATGAACGTATACGTTTTCAAAGTAAAGAGTTCACCGATTGAATCGTCATCAATACAAAATCAGGGTTTCCTACCTTTCAATTTTGATCCCTGTTTTCGTTTGTACAACAATAACACAACCCAGTTGACTATGACTTCCTGTCCCAGAAATGTTTCTCCACTCACCTGTGTGGGGCCACACCCACTGGCGGCGGAATACCTCTCACCTGTCTAACAAGAATTTATACTCTGCGCTGACCTAACTAAGGATTTTATTACGTTTATCCGTGCTTATGGCAGCATATATGTGAAAGGTATCTTTATCATTGTTCACTTGTTCCTTGTTAAACTTTGTCTCTATAATGAGGAACAATGTTGGCACTTTGCAGTTAGTGATGTGTGCAAACAGGGGAGTTGAGAAAGGGTTGGTTTTTCCTCAACAACTTTCCCAAAACTACATTTATGATTGTCGCCACAACCCGGACGAGATCCGACACAGCGCACGCGGTCAGGCTGAAACTCGTGGTTCTTCCTTTAATATTAGTTGAAGCATTTCCGCCGCAGGATTAACACATTTCATAATAAAAACCACTGAAAACAGCACAGCCCCACAGTGGGGAAAGTGTTTACTTGCCTAATTCATATTTATTTTTATTTGATTGTTTTGTAGATTTTATAGATTTCATTGTAAAGTGTTGTTTTACTGCACTATATCACAGGGAAGTACCTACATTTCCTTTTTAGAACAAATCGTTTAGTATTTATCTGGTCTTAAGATAGAGCTTTTATTTTAACCTGTTTATTAAGTTGCTTTTAACTACTGATGTAAGGTCTTTCAAAACCCATTGTGTAATTGGGTTATTAGATTTAGGCAAAAATAGATACTGATTTATAATTGATCTTTAGGCCATGTCGCAAGGGGAAAACCTTTCCTGCTTGGCAATGATCTCTCAGTAATTAATCTATTAATCTCATAAAATTTCAAATAAATGTTAAGCATACGTATTGCTGCATAAATGTTACTGGACCTGGTATGTAGATACGACTGAATAATTTCCAAACAATAGTCGGTGAACATCTTTCATATTAATCTTGGAAGGTCCAGAATCGACAGCCCCCAGTGTACGGAGATTTATTGTGAAGTCCAACAGCCCGCCACTACCGGAAGTGTTTGTCCTTGCTCTCTGAGCTCACCCTGCTCATACAACCGACCGCGCGCTGGTTTGGCTAGCAAGCGAGGAAGATGCTAGACGGAAATGGCGGAGATGGCAAGGCGAGCAACATGAATTGCTGATGCATTAGATGGATCAAAACTTTCGACTGCAAGTACATCGTTGGAGAACTGACAATGAAGTCGAAGTAGAGCACCCCTTGTAGTTGTCATTACAGGCCTATAATACATCCCCGGGAGAGTTTCCATCTGGTCCGCAGAGGAGTGAAAATCTCACCGGGAGCATGGCTTCTTACAGCAACCAGGTAGCTAAGCTAGTTAGCTAGCATTAGCCAGCACAACAACTTCAGCTGAACGCTATGCAACGGTTACTGGTTGCTTTGTTAACGACTCGTTTAGCAACAATTCGAACAAAGTTTTGCCACATTACAGCAATGTTGTTGTCAATTTTGTGTAGCTATTTGTATTATTGGGTCGTTCGTGTCATTGAAATTGTTGGCACCGAAAAGTGCTTGCTAATGCCCCCATAAGTCTCATTGAAACCCAACCAGCATGGCAACGTTAGCTAGCAGGCCATATGTTCATCCATTCATATGAACCAGCGTTACTCTGTGCTGCTGTTTTATATTAACTTATTGTCTTTTCCACCTTATATACCGAAAAGTGCACGTAGGTTGACTCCTGTGACACTTTGATGTGGGTTCCCACGAGTGTCATGAGTTATTTTAAAGAGAAATGAAAACTGCTGCGTGTACGCATGGCCCACCTGCTCGTTAGTGCCACGGGCCCTCTCCCATATTTCCAGACCAAAATTGATTATTACAGTTAAATAGTTGAGTTCAGGGCAGCTGAAAAGTAGTAGAACAGTTTTGCTGAGGATGCATGTGAGAAATTGGCTGATTAGAGCAGCTGTGCGGTGAGATGTGCTTGAAGTGATTTAGCCTGGAAGAGCTAACAGCTTTGCACAGGTGGTGAGCTTAGACTTTGCTGTCAGTTCGCTAGCTCGTTTGCTAAATACAGTGAGGGCCTGCAGTAGATGGCGATTTTCTTTTAAACATAAATTAGTGGTTAAAAGTCTAAACCTACACGTTGTCTCATTTTGTGTCCAGCATCCAAATGAGGCTGGTCGTAGCTTTAGCATTTAGTGGTATTTTGGTGAGGATAACCATCATGTGGGAAGGTCCATTTTGAGCTGTTCATGAAGCAACATGCTCGGTGTGAAGTTTCGTGTATCTGACGGAAAGTATTTCAAAATTACCCGTAAAAACGCATTTATTTAATCTCAACGTAGTGGCCGTGTGATGTCTTGGTTAAAAGGAAAAACATCCAACGAAAAAGATGAATGTCACATGTTCAATGAATACAGAAAAGTAACTTACTGAACAATTGCCAGGAATGTTGTCACTTTTTTTTTACCTACCTTCAAATAAAGTATTTTCATCGGCTGTCTTGAGCTCAATGAAAGAATGGAAAGCCTTTCTCAAGTTAACATATTGTTAATAACAGAATGGCAGTTGCGCTGTCAAAGGATCAGACAAGTTGTGAAATTATGAAGTATCTACCGCAAGCATTGATTTTTGATAAACCCTGGGTGGTGTTGCACAATACCTGATCTGTTTGAAGCATACAATTAAAGTACTAAAGCTTTCAAACAACTGTCATCTGATTAGAACAGTTATCTGCTATGTAATTTGGTCTGCTCTCCACTGGTAGAGAAGTGATATTGAATATTCTACCCTTTGTAAATTATTTAGGAGACGTGAATAAAAATTTTGTCACAATGATTTACCAAGCAAGAGGGACTTTGTCAGTGATCATGGATAATCAAAATGGAGGCTCACTGTTCTAACAAACTGGTAAATATGTTGACTGAAAGGGCAGAAAAAGGATTAAACAACCAAGTAAGAGGGCAAAGATCTGCTGCACCAGAAGCAAAGGGGACATCAGTCTTCTGAGACAAAACCAAAGAAACAGGTTGTTCTGGAAACATTTAACAGTACAGCTCTGTGTCTGGATCTGTTGAGAAAAGCAAGATTTGATATTGATTAAAGTTAGATAGTTAAAGTTTATATCTTGTCAATACTTTATTTTGCAATAACAAAATCAAAAATAATTTGGTAACTTATTTGTACAACAGAAGGCAAACACTAAGATATCCTGTATGCCAAATGAGAGGCATCATTTATTCCATTTTGAATATTGTTTTCTGTTAAATATCTTTATTCCATTTTGAATATTGTTTTCTGTTAAATATCATCAGTGAGATAAGATAGCGGACCTGCAGTAAGTAATATCAGTCATAATTTCATGTGTCTTCATCCAGAGAGCTTCATGGCAGGCTTTGGTAGAGCAATGTCTCACTCATACATACCAGATTTATTTCAGAGAGTTTATATAGTCATGTTTACCTTTTCCATGATGTACTCTGTCAGCACATTGTGGTCAGCAATTGTCAATTTAAATGTAGAAGTTCTTTTTTTTTTTTAAAGTTGTCTCCACCAGGAAAAGCCTCACATCCCATTACCTTTTAAAGCTTATTGGTTTAGCTCTGGGATCTCATGAGCGCAGCATAAATTGCTTGTGCAACTACATCATGCTGTCGCTCACGTTCCCCTGCCTTAAATATGTGTTCCCTCTAGCAGTTGGATTGAAAAGGCATATAAGTAATTTAGGTGACAGGTCTGAATAGTTGGAAGTGAGACAAGTAGTTTTTTTTGTTTTGTTATTTTGATTTTCCTTTTTATTTAAACTCTAAAGCAGTGAATTCCTTCCTGTGTGGCTTCATTGCAGAGGTTGCGCATCACTACGCAATAAAATGCGGAAATGGAGTGAAAGGATTTGGGCATAATTGGTTTTATCTAATTACTTAAGTCCTAATTCTACAAAGGCAGTTGGGTGTCCACATGTTGAAATAATTATAATCATCCCTGTTGAAAATGAATAGGAGTTGTATTGTGGTTTAGTGTGTCATCATTAAGGTGAATGATTTCCACAATCTTTTGTTTTGTTTTTTTGTGTGTGTTCTCATGCCTGCACTTCCACCAACATGCAGGTGCAGGCATGCTGCAGAGGTTTATTGGAAACTGGTCTAACCTCATTCGTTGTGTCACCACATCAAGTTCATCCTTGGCCAACATGTTCATGAATAACTGCATACCAGTTGTAAGAGAATGAGTGCAGTGTAATGCTGGTTGTGCAACCTGGTTACACTGCACAGTGTCTAAGAGGCACTTATTTGCAGGCCTTGGTAGAATAAAATTTCCTAACTCTTTTTAGACATAGCTTAGCAGTGTTTCGACAGACCGCCCAGATGTGAAAAAGGCAGCCAGATAAAAGGCTCATTGCTTTTTGTCTTTGGTCACAAAGAAAAGTCTTCCTTTCTTAGGAAAGACGATCAATCAATGATCTCTCTGTGCCGTTTAAACTTTGAAAGCAGAGTGTTACCAAAATGCTGTGAAAATGTTGTTGTCACATCCCAATCTGGGGCTATTGTTGTGCTTATTTTCTGAGCGCTGGGAGGGGCGTGTGTGCCCGCGCACGTGTGTGTGGTGTCGTCATGGAACTGCTGTAATCATACAGATGGCTAATTTTTTTTGTTGTAATCGCAGTGAAAACGAACAGCAGGGGAAAGCTTGGTGTGGTACGAGTGGCACGCATGCAGAAAGAAGCAAAGGGGCTTTCTCTCTGTTGTGATTGTGTGAGCCATCCCGAAGCTGTCGGATTATAGCTGGCTTTTTGTCGCTTGTAGTGCCATTTCAGCAATGTGGGCCCTCGCGTGGGGCCTCATTTGCAAAGAGTTACATATGCTTGAGCTGCACTTTCTTTTTTCTGTGCCTCCCCTTTCATGTTCCACTGTTTATTACACAGAGGGAACCAAAAGCGTGGCTACTGGGTTCATTTCACGTTTCTTTATTTTCCACTCCCACGTCGCCACTTTGGTGGTATATTTTTTCCCACTGAATTGTGACAATATGAACGATGTGCCTGATGTGATGAATAATTGAGAAAGGCAGGATGAAGCAGCGTTTTCCCGTGCCCTGATTCATTTTCAACTTTATAACTCCTATCTTTTACCACTGTAAGTCCCAACCTGTTTACCTGTTTATCGACTTTTGGGCGATAGTAGTTTCCTTTGAATGTAAATCCCGTTGATAAGTGGTTCGTGTCTTTTTTTCTCCCTCTATTTTATATATATTAACTCTTAATTCTGAGATATGACAGGGAAAAACAGTTTGAAACATAATTTCTTCACACATCAAACGGTTCAGTAACATTGTTTTAGACTGTTGACACGCTTATGAATCAGGATTTTGTAAAACTGAAAATCAATTAATTCCCATAGAAATGCATGAGAGGCGCATTAAGTTTTGTATTCCTGAAGCATGTGGTTGAATTTTCTCAAATGGGTAATAATTTTATAGGCTGTAGTTTGTGATGTCGCCGAGTTGGTATCTGGTCTTTATCTTAAGGAATTGATTCGTCTTGTAATTATTGACTACACGCTGCTCCAGATTCAGCTGAAGGAAAGACAACTTGTAAGCATAAACGGATGTTTTTAAGTCAGTGAAAAGAGAGGTTAAATGTTTTGAATATGAAGAGTCAGTTGACTGCATCTTTTTGTTTGGAAAAAATAAATAGGTTGCCTTTTGTAGGCCGTTGGATTCCTGGAAATAGTTTTCATGGTTGATGTGTAACACAGCATGACTCATCATTTTGTGATTTGCTGTACCTTAGCACAGGCAGGAGGTACAGTTTAAGCTGGCTGATGACAGACCCAGTAAAAGCAGGATAACGGATGACGGTGCCTTTTGAATCCATTCCAGATATGAGCTCTCTGGCAATTGATTCATGTCATTAGATTCTTCCATTGGATTTGGAAAACACTGATGTGTTTTCACAAGCTTTTGGACGGTCTTGAAATGGCATATGAGGCTATTTGACAGAACTTCTGGAGTTTTTATGTCTGAAGTGGATTTGGGGTCAAGTCGACACTAATGTTTAAATAAAATTGTTTTATTTCCTATTTTCCTTGAACTAACAGATGTTTGGTTTCTTCCCGCAGTACATATTCGGGGAATTCAGCCCTGACGAGATAAATCAATTTTTTGTGACGCCTCGATGTTACGTTGAGGTAAGAAGAAAGGACACCCTGCATGTTTTTCCATCAGTAAATCATTATTTCACATTTTGGCTGCTTAGTTAAAACTTTTAACAAGGTTCTGGTGACCTCTACTGGCCAGTAAGATCAAATTTGGCGTGAATCAGCAATGTTGATCGTGAATATTTGTGCTGATATTCTGCAGAAAATGCGTTAAGTTATTATTCAGGTTGCTTTTTTTCCCTCTTCCTAAAACATTCATTTATATGTTGTTGAAAAAAATTGTGAAAATGTTTGAGTGTGTTCAAATGTACTTGAGGTTGCTCTTAATCCAAACCTTCTGACTTTTTTCAGCTTCCTCCATTCAACGACAAAGTCCCATGTGTGAGTCAGTCTTCTGGTATGTATTTTTTACTTACTCTTGATTGCTAAATATCGTCGACTTTGTTTATTAAATTATTTTGCCACTGAAAACACTCAGACTCCCCAATGCCAAGTCACTTGTTGGATATTTGAACGGAAGCGTTTTTCACACCCAGTCCTTATATACACGCTTGAATCTCAGACATAACTGACCTATGACCTGACCGGCAAAGCAGAGATATGCTTTCTATGTAATTATTTTGAGTATATTTGTGAAAGAAGTAATGTGTACAGAAATACCTGATTATTTATTACCTTTGTCTTTTTTTGTCAAATTGAATCAAAATATATTCCTGACATTTCGAGCCACTAAATATATATTTAAGTTATATCAGCCACCTTTTTTAAATGGTTGTTATTTGCACATAACGTCTGCCTTACCTTGATCTGTATTGAATATTTAGGAAGTTACTGCACTCCTGCTGTGCCTTTTATAATGGAGTCTATGGGACTGCAGGTTTGCGGTGAGTTGAGGAGTCCGACACCCTGTGACCTGACTAGCTCTTGCACATTGTCTGTAAAACTAAAAAAAACAAAACAATCCAGGTTTAAAAAACTGGTGGCTTTCTAAACTTTGCGCCTGAATTCTTTCTCTTGCCTGTTGGTAAAAATCTGTAGAGCTTTGCATGCTCAAGATACTTTCTAGTATCTTCTTTTGCATTTAATGCATTTTTCACTATCGCAGGGTCTCCAAGTTGAAATTGAAACACATTTTACTGTCACGTGATTTAACAATCAAGCTTATTTACTAAGGGCATAGTGATGGTCTCTGCGGTTGCTAACACTTGTGAACAAATTGTTGCATATTTGAGGTTTACTGCTGAATGCAATTTAATAAAAACAAACATGCAATTTCAATAAAACTAACAGAATATCTTCTAATCCCATTGGAGAAAGTAACTGTTGTTTACCTCTTAACTCCTGAAGAACCTAATTTAATTCTATATATTGGTTGACGATCGGCTGATAAGACACTTGGATGTTTTTCTTTTCCTTTTGTTTTGCACTTACTAATGTTTCCTGTGTATATTTACCCTTGCGCCTCTCACTGCATAATGATTGATCATCTAAGCAGCGTTGCAATGGATTTGAACTAAACTATAAGTGCATTGAATGTTTCCTTTGCTGACCTATTGACACATGAAAATTAAGTTGTTGTTGAAAGTACTATATTTTAAGGTGTAGATTTTTAGACGCCACAGTTTGACTGCTTAAACTAAAACAGTCATACATGTATCTTCTGTTAATGCAATTGGTCCATGATGTGTAAATCTATTTATATTTATGTGTATCATTTGCACTCAAAAGCTAGCACTGGGCATACATTGTTGTTACTGTTCCATTTGACTACTGTCTGTTGAGGAATGTAGGTTGGATAGACATAACAGTAACATAACAGTAGTTGTCAAAAATAGTTCCAGTGATGTGTTTTTCCTTTTTGTTATGTCTATCACAGCTCTCACTACCCAGTTGAGTCATTGCTTTTCTTTTTTAAAGTCAGATGTTAGAATTTAGCAGGAAACCCTGCAACAGGAATGAATGTGACTTCTTAAGGTATATTCTTTAGGTTGTGTTTTCAAAGGACCCCAGTGACTTTAATTAATTGTAATGTCTCCTGCAGCAGAAGACTATCAGCGCATTGAGTTTGGTGTTGATGAGGTGATGGATTCCAAGCCTGTCGGGGTCAATGATCCTTTATATAAGGTGTCTAGCACCCTTAACCCACAGGCTCCAGAGTTCATCTTGGGCTGCCAGCCATCCCAGAAGGCGCTACAGACGGCTCCTCCAGCGGCTGATGTTCCAGATGGAGACCATTTCAACTCTCTGGATGGGGCAGACTCTGAGGCCTCTGCCCTGGACAATCACCAGGCATGCCAGGACATGGATGGTCTCCCTGGCAGCTTGGGTCAGAGGGAGAGAAAGAAAAAGAAAAAGCGACCGCCCGGATACTACAGCTACCTGGATCCCAACAGCGGCAGCACTGGTGCAGCAGACGGAGGGCCTGTGACACCACTGGTGAACGGACATGCTCTCGGAGGCCCACATCACAGTGCTGAGGATGTGGACAGTAAGGCATTGTCAGGGGCTGAACTTTCCACCCCTGGCCCTGTCTCCACAGCAACAACAGCTGCTGTGTTTGCCCCCACACCCACTGCAAATCAGAGGACTTGTGACAGCCCTGATGACTCTTCTTTGGACTTAACAAGTGGAGCCGCCTCTTTATCAGATGGCATCAATGCAACTTCCTCCTCTTCATCTTCGTCTCAAAGCAGAGGGATGACAGAGGGACCAAGGACTGCAGATCAGCAGCCGGACAATTTGTCTCCACAGAGCCCTGAACTCTCAGATACCCCACACAGTCCTAGCTCCAAATCACCGCTTCCTCCTTCAGCCTCTGAGGCCACCCCTTCTGTTCTCACTTCATTAACGACTACTGAGCTGGAGCGAAGGGAGGCTGCAGACAGTGGGGTGGCCAACGGGCTAGAGGAGCCTAGCACTCCTGTCAGTGCAGATGGACACAAAGATGACTGTGAGAGTGGGGAGCAGGCTCAGCCCCACGCCCCAGACTCTGCTGCTCAGCCCGTGGCGACGGAGCAGGCTCACTCGCCTGCAAACTCAGCTGCGCCCACTGCCAATCTTCCTAAATCCTGGGCTAGCCTCTTTCATAACTCCAAGCCTCTGCCTGGGGGCCCTCAGGCCTTTGTTGAGGTGAAGAATGTCATGGAAGCCGTATCTCCCTCCCCTGCTACGCCAGAGCAGCCTGAAAAAGTTGTGGAGGTAAAAGAAGGTCCTGTGCACGTATCAGAGGATCCCATGGCCCCGAAACTTGCAGGTATTTTACGAAGACGCTCATAACACACTTGCACTGGATTTTATTTGTTTTTAGTGGCGCTGCATTTTTTTTTCCCCACATCCACTTGGTGGCAGCACCATGCTGTGCCTCAGATGGTGTTCATTTTTTTGAGGCTGGTCTCCTCAGTCTGCATGATGCTACAGCAAAATGCTATCGTAGGAAAATAGCACTCAGTGGCTGTGAAACATTCTGCATAGCTGTATGATATTAAGTCATTATTTTCATTTGTAAAACCCACCATATCTCTTTACCCCAGAATAAGTAGGCCAAGAATGCCTAGCAGGCCTCACAGCATCTGAACAAAAGAATGTTTCCACACAGCTGTAGCACAGGTGGATGCACAGATTCAGGTGAACTTTTTTTGTGGGCGAAGTGTCCTTTTTTTTTTTAAACAATGAATGTGTGTTCCTGTGAAGTATGACTTGCTTGCATATACTTATGTAGGGCCACTATGCGGTGTAACCGTTTCATGGTAACTACTGTGTCAAGTAATTCCTCTCAGTTGTGATTTGAGTGGGTAGTTGTCTGTTCATTTATCAGCAAGGATAAATGAACAGTCGTAATAATTTGAACACTCGTTTTGAATCCTCCCTTTGTTTCTTAGGGAATCTGAAAGCTTTGGGGTGTGGATTTGCAGAGCTTTTGTATTGACATATGGAACAACATTCAAACCAGAACAAAATAGAATAACATGCTGAAATATGTAATTGCGGTCATGCTAGGAAAGGAATTGTAGTTGGACTTCATATGAAGAAGATTTGAGCACCTAAGCAGAGTGTAGTTTTTTTTTTTAAGGGCATTTCAAATGTCATGTTATCTGAATCTTCTACAGTCTGCAGATTTTTCCATTTTGATAACCTTTATTCTGAACAAATGTGCATGTTAGTTTTTCTTTTTCTTTTTTTGTAACATAGAGGTATTTTGAAACTTTCAAGAGGCCACACTTATTTGATCACCCACAATAGGATCTGAATTCCATCTCAAGTGCAGTTCTGTCATAAGTACACACTTTCCCCACAGTGTTTTTGCAGCAGATCACACTGCACGTAACTCAAGACCCTAATTCTTTTATTTAAGGGCAAGAACATGTTAACGTTTGACATGGAAATGTTTACTTTTTTGTGTGAACCAGAGGGTCTAGCACATATTTCTAATCTGGAGAATATCTACTATTTTCTTTGAATTCCTGACAGCTGTCGATGTATAAACTGAGAAACAGATGGGATTGTGTAAAATGCAAAGAATCCGTCGGATGTAGTGACCTTCAATTCTTCACATTTTCTGCGGGTTGCTTCTGCAACATGGCATGAGAACGGATTGTTATTAGTAATGAGATTGTAGAGGAGATTGAAATGTTTCTCTAATGTTGATGACTTGGCATTTTAGTTTGAAAGAAGGCGAATATAAGTGTGTTTTAGATTTGCGTGTTGTACCAATGATAAAGCTACTCTCACACACACCTGTACCGAAGCAAGGAAAAAGTAGTCTGTAGAGTTTTCAAATGTAATGAACAATAACTCGTTGGTGGAGAGCTTTTGAGTTTTGTTAGTAATTGATTTTCCTTTATTATGCAAGTAAACTCTCTAACCATATAGTCACATCTAATGATTAATTAGCCACAAGGATCTCTGGTGCATGTTTGCTGTTTTAAGGATTCCTTATTTTTTTTAAATCCACCATCAATATTCTAACATTTGGTTACCCATCCAAAGTACAGTGCAAGTACAGTAAAACGTACTCATGTAGAATGACGAATTTTTCATGTTGTCATAACAGCCAAATGATGAGTTGTGATTTGAATCAGCATCGTTCATATTCTATATCCACGTTACCATGGGAACTGTGTCTTTGAATGACAGCCTCCCTTCCTAGGCGTGGTACATTAAACTCTTTATCCTATTCAGATAGTCTCTAGTGCGGATGTCACCAGAGGCACGAATAGTAAAAGGAACATTTGTTTTTATTCTAAAATGTATGTTTGTTTAAGCGGAAGCAGATATCTTAGGATTGCTATGCTGTTGTGTGCTGTTGTGTGGCTGAGACGATGCACTCACACAACGGCGCTGTTTTTTTAAAATGTATTTTAACTTTTTTTAAAGTTTGTTGCAGTTGGACAGGGCTGTCTTTTAAAGAACACTTTGTTTGTTTGAATCCCCAGAACTTATTGAGAATGTGAAGTTGATACATAAACCAGTGTCTTTGCAGCCGAGAGGGCTGATCAACAAAGGGAACTGGTGCTATATCAACGCTGTATCCTTTCACTGGACTTTCTTGTTTGTTTGTTTTTTTTAAATATACACATTGCTTTTTCGACCAAAATATTAAAGCTGATATAAAACATGCCACAAATGGGTGGCAGAGAGCTGTAGGATTTAAAGTACAAACTGATGTTTAATGTCTTTATTTTGGTATTTGCTGAGAAATGCTTTTCAGGTCTCCCTGGAAGATTGATAGAAATTCCCAAATTATTGGTTTCAGATTTTGTGTTCTCATATGGGACATTTTCTCCGATTTGCAGTGGTTGATTGAATCATATATATATCTTTTTCATAATTTCTTCCCATAAAGCCCTCTGGGTTATATTCTTTCCGTCATACTTGCCTCCCTGACTCTGAGCACTCAGACCCTACAGGCTTTGATCGCATGTCCACCCATGTATCACCTGATGAAGTCCATTCCTCTGCATAATGAAGCACAGAGACCATGTACCTCCACACCCATGATAGACAACTTGTAAGTGCGGCGCCTGCAGACATATAGCTGATTGGAAAAGCGTGTTGCTCTCTGAGCCTTCATAGTTGTTTTATTCTGTCTGACAGTGTAAGGCTGGTTAACGAGTTCAGCAATATGCCCGTGCCATCCAAAACCAAACAGCAAGGTACGACCTCAACCACGGGGGACTGGGGGCTCCGAGGCAGCTTTCTGTCCCTGTCACTGATGTGTGATTTGTCCCTGTGCCCCCAGCTGTTGGCGATAAGGTCGTAAAAGACATCCGGACAGGTCCACCCTTTGAGCCAACTTACATTTATCGACTTCTCACTCTCATCAAGTCCAGTCTGTCTGAGAAGGTAAAATATGCTGCCGTCTGAAAGATTACACATGCACCCCACAGCAATGTGTCAAGATGTCTTTTTTTGATGATCCCACTGAACGCACTTCCTCTGGAACAGCCTGTATTAAGGTTCAGGCATAATTTTTGACAACGCACTTTTTGCTTTAATGAGATAATGTTTGTGAGTAAAAGTATTTCACGTGTTGCATGTGCTGAGTCACCTCTGATTCAGGCTTAATGAAAGAAATGAGATGGTTATATTTTTAATCAGGCTTCCTCTCACCCTGTCTTATCTGTTTACCAATGAATGTGTGCACACAAGCGTCCCCCCCCCTCCAACAGAAAGCGTTTTGTGCTGCGTGTGCAAATCGGTGCTGATGTATTTACGGTCTGCTCACAGGGTCGACAAGAGGATGCAGAGGAGTATCTGGGGTTCACGCTCAACGGTTTGCACGAGGAGATGCTGGCTTTGAAAAAGCTCATCTCGCCTCTGGAAGAGAAAGAGAGTAAGTTGTCTGAACATATGTTGGCCAACTTCCTCATGTGATCAAGTTCAGTTCTGGACTGGCCTCACCTTTCTATGTTTCATTAACGATCATTGGTGTCATCTTTGTTGCCCAAAAACCACCAGTTGTGTTACACTGCTATGTTAAATCCCTAGTCGAATCGGGACCACTTGAACGCTCTCAACGTAAAGTTACAAAGATGCTCATTTGAAATGGAACCCCAAAGAGAGGCTCTGCAGTCTGTCAGTGTGCTGCCACTCTCCCCTCTGCAGCTGAATGCTACGTTATTGTGTTATGAAAGTGGGGTGTTGGGGCATGTGAAGGGTATCAATTGCGAGAGCAGAGCGCCTCATCAGTGACCACATTATGTGTACGAACTGTTTGATCAAGTTACTGAGCAAACATCCTGTCTCCACAGCCAGTCAGCAGGCCAACAGCCGTGTGTCTGTACTCTGTTCCCTACAGTAAAAAGAATCAATAAATCAAATGGGACGTGCATTTGCTCCACTCAGAAAACAGACGACAGCAAACTTTGTTTTTGTCTTTGGTTCAGCAGAAACTCCCTGTATTCTAGTTATTTGTGCCTCCATTTATCTAACAGAGGTCTCCACGCCCAACGGCCCCGAGTCCCAGCCAGGTGTGGAGGAGGATGCTGCTGATAAGGAAGAAGAAGGAAGTGATGATGAGTGGGAACAAGTGGGGCCCCGTAACAAGACTTCCATCACTCGCCAAGCGGACTTTGTGCGCACACCCATCACGGACATTTTTGGTGGACACATCAGGTACAGAGGCAGCTCGGTGCTCCAGAGAATTTAGGGATGAGCATTGATTGAATTTCACAGCCCAGCGCCGTGCTCCCACTCAGCCGGCCTCTGCTGTGCATCCCGCGCTCGTTGCGTAGCTTTGGCTTTGGTTTTTGACCCTGATTGTGGGTGGCATTACAAATTGCCCCGGCCACCTCCAGCTTTTTGCCCGAGTCCTCCACAGTCCTTCAGAGTGACATTTCCATGGGCCATTTGTGGTCAGAAGTATCGTCAGCCATACATGGGGCACCCCCCCTCCCACACAAAAAGGTCATTACTTTGAGACAAATTGTAAAGTTTAGAATCTGCGTGTCTGACCTAATGATATGTTGTCTGAGGTTCTGGTTTGGCACCGTCCTGCTGTACGCATGCAGCACCGTGCCTACAAGGATTATTTTCTCAGAAATGGTCGCGTGCCCAGAGAGAAATGGAATCCAGGAGGGTGTTTTTACAGCATGCTCTGCCTTTGCTTTAAACCTGCGGACATGAGTTTTTAAGGCTTTAGTGTGTGACTGGCCAGTTCTGAGCAGTTGTGGCAGCTGCTAGTTAAATGTAAAGAGTTTTACATTTAATTTGGAGTGTTAACTTTTTTTGTGATCATGTTAATAATGAACGCTGTCTGCATTATTCCAGGTTGTGCTGAAAACTTAAAAAACTTAAAATCTGAATTATTGATAGTTGCAGTGGGGACAAGTGAAATTTTTTTTGGTGTTTTTTTTGTCTTTTTCACCCCAACTGAGAGATGGAAATGCTCCCAACTAGCAATGTGTACCAAATGGTTTCCACCTGGCACTCTTTAAAAGTCTTATACTGAGCCTTTTATTCACTCCTCAGATCTGTGGTATACCAACAAAACTCTAAAGAGTCGGCCACTCTGCAGCCTTTCTTCACGCTTCAGCTGGACATCCAGTCGGACAAGATCCGCACAGTCCAGGACGCTTTGGAGACCCTGGTGGCCCGCGAGTCCGTCCAGGGCTACACTTCTAAAACCAAGCAGGAGGTAAATGAATGGCGTGTTGTTTAAACGATGCCCTTGAGCTTTTTTCATCGTGACATCATCATCATCATCATCAACAACAATGGTGATGTCGTTCCTGACAGGGAAATGATCACTTTTTCCCTCAGTGTTTGAGCAGTGGACAAAAAGCTTCTTGAGGATTTGTTGCACTACTGTTAGGTTAATGTGTTTAGAAAATAAAACAAGTTGTGCAACTCACTGCTAATGGTATTATTACACGAGGCTCCGCACGGGTCTCAGACTTCAGACGAAAATGGACACAGAGCGAAACAGTGCAGGCTTTAAAGCTGCAAGAACTGCTGGAATGAACATCTGCACCACAGCTGTATAATGGGCAACTTTATTGTTGTTTTTTTAAAACAAGATAAACCTTTTTGGAGACAAAGTGCTTGTTCCATTAAAGGCCAAAAATTGCCATGATTTACATTTTCCAAGACACAGAATGCTCTTTTTTAAACAAAATGTCTCGTTCTGTCCTTGTTTTGTTCAGTTTATTGGGTTTTATCTGGTGTCTCATCTTGCAAATAAAGCTTTGTCTCTTTAAAATGCAGACCTTTTTGTAGTGTCCATGTTCTTAGTTACTTAGTTCTTAGTCACAGTGAAATTTGACAACTGCCTCTTTTTCTCTATTTTGTTTTCCTCTCAGATTGAAATAAGTCGGAGGGTAACCCTGGAGGAGCTGCCACCTGTGCTGGTGCTCCATCTCAAGAGATTTGTATTTGAAAAGACTGGAGGATGCCAGAAACTGACAAAGAACATTGATTACCCTGTCGACCTGGAAATCAGCAAAGGTACAGGGGGCTTGCACGTTTGACCCAGTACCTCTCAGTGCAGACATCAAACTATTGGACAGTATAGCGTGACCATACTTTGACTAAACTGCGTGTTTACCGACTGGAAAAGATGGTTCAGAAAGAACAGATTTTGTTTTTGATCATTCTAATGAAAAAACCCCCAAAAAACAGTCTTTTGACAAACCCTCCAGATTTCTGCTTTGATGGTTCATCGTCTTTTTGATGATGATTAACACAGTCCTAACTGCAGCTTGAAGCAAAACCCCTTCATCTTCATTTTGATGCCACCAGAACAACACAACGCTATTGTTTTTAATATGAGTGCTTGTAATGGGAGGATTTTGCTTTCAACTCAATTTTCCTTTCAGATCTCTTGTCCGCTGGAGTACGAAGCAAAGTTGTGAAAGGCCAAAGAACTTACAGGCTCTTTGCAGGTGTGTTTCTGTATTTAGTTGACATCAATACATCTCCAGGGAATTCTAAATGAAACAAATTGTAAACTTTTTATTCAGTTTTGTAAGAGAAGCTTGCTGTCTTGGTCTTGTAAATGTTAGGGAAAAGTGTTTGTTCTTTTTAAACCAAAACAGCTAATGCTAAATCTCTGTTGGATGTGGCCGCAGCAGTAAATCAGACAGTAAATCAGACAGTAAGCCACGGCAGTTAGCGGTTTATTTCTGCTGCGCACCACCGTGAGCCGTCGGATCCGAATGATTAACCCCTATTTTCCGTTCCGTCAGTGGTCTATCATCACGGGAACAGCGCGACCGGCGGTCACTACACCACTGATGTCTTCCACATTGGTCTTAACGGCTGGCTGCGTATCGACGACCAGGCAGTGAAGGTCATCAACCAGTACCAGGTGGTGAAGCAGACCACCGAGCGCACCGCCTACCTGCTGTACTACCGCCGCGTCGACCTGCTGTAGACACGCCCACGGACACGCCCACACACACCACCACAATATATCCATTGCAACCCACACACACACACAC